AAAAAAAAAAAAAAAAAAAAAGAACACAGGCTTGGGGCAAGACCAGTCTGGGATTCCCATCCAGGCTCTACCCGTCCCTGGATGGCTACTGTCAGGCAATTCACTGGCTTCCTCTGTCTTAGTTTTCTTACTAGTAAAAGCAATTAAATGACTCGAGATGTGTCCCTGACAGGTACAACGCCTGACTTACAGTAGATACTCCATTGATATGACTCTGACTTTTAAAGCAAGATGGTCAGGTTTAGAAATCATTTTGTCTCTGGTTTTATAGAGGGAAAATGAGGCCCAGAGCAATGGAGGGATTTACTGAAGGCCATATCCCTGCTTGGCTGAAGAGAGGGTGCAAACTCGAACCTCTCAGTAAATACTCTGGAGTTCAATGAACTTCAGTTTCGGAAAAGGAAATTGCAGCCAGCTCAGGCTGCCTGGAGAAGCACCAGGAGAGGGAGCTGACATGAAATCCTGCCCTTGACACAGGTTCTAAGCCTCCTCACTCTGGACATGGGCTTTCTCGTCCCCCATGGGGATGCTGAGGAGCATCTCCAAAGAGAGGGAAAAGCAGAGTGGATAGAACATGTCAGGGAAAACAGATTCTTCATCCTCCCTTTCTGGAAGATGCTTCTGGGGCAGAAGGTCTGCAGACTATCATGGGAAGCAGGTCTGAGAGCAGAGGTAGAACGCCTGGAGGAATGAGAATGGGGTGGAGGGAGACTTGGGGCTTGTTTCTTCTGGGGGCCTTTGCTGACCCCGTTGCGTGCAGTCCTTGCTGGGCAGTAAAAAGGTTGCCAGTTTGGGCAAAAAGTCACTAAGGGGCTGGCTGAGGCAGACCTGGATGGCACCAGGATCAGAGCAGCCTGACTCTAGGTTCTCAAACTGCACCCATGGAACACTGAGGTTCTATGAGGCTGACTCATGTAGACCATCACTAAAGAGGAAGTGGGTGGTCTTTTCTCAACTTAAGGAAGGGGACTAGTTAAACAAATGATGGGACAGTGATACGATGTAAAAAGTGTGAGTTTTACGCATATGAGTGAACATAAAATGGTCTCTAAAATAAACTAAGTAGAAAAGGCATAGAAGATTTGTTATGTTATCTTTGGGGTACATCTGTATTTTATGCAGATGTATATGGATCTGGAAATAAGGAACTTGATGGTAGTCACCTTAGGGTAGGACTGAAGAAGGCCGCAAAGGATGAGAAATTTACTTTTCATCATATGTGTTCTCTCGTGCTTTCTTTTGAAAAATTTTTTTACCAAGATTTTTAATTTGCAAAAGGAACAAGTTAATGGGTAAAACTGTACCCATGTAAAAATTTCATTCCCTAACACTTGTTAAAACTCTTGCCACCTGCTACTTGATAATGAATATTAATGGACAGACTTGGAAACAGCTGATCACACTTCTCTGGACAGCTTGTATATTCCCAGGCACACATTTGCCTGTGGTTGTGATTAGAATACAAACATATAGTCGGGTCCTATTTGCAGGCTGGGATTGAGTTTAGTCAATGTTGAGGTTTCCCGCAGAGTCCCGTGGCCTTCAGGGAGCTCACCACCTGAGCCCGTTTGGGCCCGAAGGCGAGAGAATGGTGCAGCCCAGAGACCTTTATGCGGAAGAACTAACCTGGAACTGTGGCTCCTTCAGACCAAAGAGCCCCTGTGATCTGTGCAGTGCCTCTGGGTACTAGGTCTAGGTGATGAGACAGAAGAAAAAGAAAGGGGAAAAAGAAAAGAGGAGCGGGGAGGCAGAGAGCAGGATGGGAAAGACCTCTCCCAGCACTCTTTACAACTGTGCCACTGGGCAGGTGTCTTCTCAGTCACACCCAAGAGACAGGCTTGTTCTTAAGGGATGGAGAGGAGAGACAAGGCAGCCAGTGCTCGCCGCAGGGATGTGCTCTGTTGGAATGCCTTTTGTACAGAAGAGACCGGGACAGGGTCTGACCCCATCCGCCGAGGAGGACCGTGAGCCTTCCAAATCCTCTACCACCTGTTCGGGCACTCAGCCACCTTACCTCCGTCAGGGCCGAAGGGACTTTCCTCTGCTTCTTGAAGGTCGAGGGGTTGATGCTGTGGAAGACGGACGAGAAGGCACTGCCCGAAAAGCGGGGTGTGGACAGGGGGAAGCTCATGCTCACAGGCCGCTCTGGAACGAGGGGAGGGAGGCGAGAGTCACTGTGGACAGGCGTGCCGCTTACCTTCGTAAGAGCCCTCCTGGGGCGTGAGCCAGCAACCAAGGGGGTTAACGGCACGCTCCCTCCTGCCGATGCAAGGCTGTGGGGCCGGGAGGGAACGTTTTTCCAGGGTCACTGAGGCGAGGGCGAGGCTGCTCCTCTGAAGACCTCGATATGGCCCCACAGTGCGGAAGAAGGGAGAAACGCGATGGTTTTAGGCCCAGAATGCACGCGCTTAGCCCTGGCTCCGAGTCTCTCAAGGGCCAGCTCAGCTTCCAGAGGCTCTTGTGTCAGCAGGCCACAACTCCTCCGCTGAGTCTCATCATCCTTGGTCCCAAGAAGGTCCCGCAGAGTACAGACCCACAGGACACTTGGAAAAAGGGCCCCTAAGGTAAAGGACACGTGAGCACCCCGTCTACTCTGTCACCTCCACAGAGACCCTGACTCCCGAACTTAGCTGCCCACAGAACCCTTATTCTGGGAGCGCTAGTCAATCTTTCACAGAAACAACATTTGGGAAATGGTGCCCTGGTGTGAGCGTGAACCTCCGTTTCCTCAAAGGCTGCTTCTGTGATGAGCCTCCCTCCATGGAGTAAATAGCTCCCTCCCAGGAAAGTGGTTTCAGGCGTGAGCCAGGGCCACCAGGAGCCACTGAGGCCCGGAGAGAAGCCACCCAGCTCCCTGAAGAAGGTGAGTAGTCTCGAAGTTACCTCTCATCAGGCCCGGGACAGCCCCGCCCCTCTTCTTCAGCTCCCCAAAGCAGCCATCGCAGACCTTGGCCATCCGGTCTTTGAGGTACTTCAAGGGGTACTTATTTCTCGAGCAGTTCCGGCACACAATCTGCGGGCCCAGATGGGAACCCGTGACCACGGTGTTCTTGCTCTCAGTAAGTCCAGCAGAGAGATCCGTATCCTCTCCCCTCTTCTCCTCTCAACCCCTCACCACCTCAGGGAAGGCCTGCATTCCGACCACGGGACTGTGCTGTGTCCCCTGCTTTTCCAGCAGAGGCTGCATGGCGTTTTGGAGCAAGTGCCTATCTGCTTTCTGATGATCCCACACTCCTAACACCACACGGATCCCTTTCTCCCCAGGAATAAGAACCGTGCACGTTATGGCTTTCTTTGAAAATGTGGTGGTGTCGTGGAAGGGGCCTGGGATATGGAGCCCTGGTTTGAGGATATCAGTAAAACAGGAATTAGGAATCTACCTCTCAGGGTGGGCATAAACACCCCATTATGGGCTCCATGCACAGTGGTGCTGGATGCCCCTGAACCCCTGGCTGGGCAGGGATGCACCCCCTAACCCCGCACACACTCACCCCAGACAGGGCAGGACTCACCTTGCCACAGGCGTGGCAGTGATGACGCCTCAGGGTGAGAGAGAAGTCGCAGCCACAGTTCATACACATCATGACGTGTGTGACAGGCACCAGGGTGGGGGGCCTCTCCCCCAGGCTGACCCCCAGCCTCTCCCGTATCTGGAGTGATGGGATCAGCCGAGCAGTGTGGTCAGGAGACCAGCAGACACGCAGCCCAGGAAGCCCTGGCCCGTGTCCTGGCACAGGGTGGATGTGTGTGTAGGGTGGGTGGATTCTAATGCTGAAGACCTCTCCCGCCTCTTCCAGGATGCCCAGCGTGGGTCGGGAACAGCTGTCATTGGGGTGCTGTGCTCCTGGGTTGCAGGGGCTGCTCCTGATGCGTGGGAGCATGGCAGGGCGACGGGGGAAGCCAGGGGGCCAGACCAGGAGCCATATGTCCTCCCGGGGGTGAGTGACCACAGCAGTGCCCACCCAGGGAAGCCCAGGGCTCTGAGGCTGGCATCGGCAGGCCCTGCCCCCACTCACCTCCACGCAATGGTGGAACACAGCCAGCGCCTGGGCCTTGTAGTCCTCTGGAAGGGCTCTGCTCAGACAGCCGTACCACTCATCCCTCTCCGCACAGGAGCTGTGGGCCCGGGCTGAGGTCAGCAAGCCACACCCCAGCAGCTCCAGCTGGGCGAAGCCCTCGCTGGCCTGCCCATCCTCTTCCCTCAGACCTGAGCCTGTGGCACTGGCTGAGATCCCACCACCAGGGCACAGGCCTCCTGCCAGACAAGGCTTGAATCTCAGTACCTCATCCAGGGGCAGACCACCACGCGAGCTGGCCTCTGGGCCTGTTTCTTCTTCTGTGACAATGGAGTAGCAACGGTACTCTCCTAACTCCCGGGACCATTGTGGGGTTGAAGTGGGGTGTGGTGTGGACCACTCTGTCAACAGCAAAGCACCGTGCAAGAGCGAGGGGTGTGGGGAAGGCCCCGTGCCCCATACTCCAGGTGGGATGGGCTGGCAGTGGACAGGGTGCTAGGTACCCTGTGGACGGTGAGGGGGGTGTGGGAGCTGGCAAAGGTAAGCTGCCCCCTCGCCGTTTTCCTCCTCCCTCCCCCACACAGCTTCCCAGACGCTCCTTCACCCAACAGACTGCAGGCAGACTTTCCCAGCAGGCTGTGAGCAGCTCTGTGCAGATAGCTGGGTGGGAATTCTCTCAGCGTCCACTAGATGTCGCGCTCACCCCACACATTAAGAGTGCGGCCTGCCCTGGGAACGCTGGGAGAAAGGACCAGTGTGGGTGTGGCGGGGGAGGGGGCGGAGATGGGGTGGTGGCAGATGCTAAACCAGCATGGTTGGCAGCCAGATGCCATGTCCCTAATAGGAGATGAATGGGTCCCATTGTCCCCTGGGGGCTCCCATGTGAAGGGTCTGGGCTAGCCGGAAGATGACTGGCCTGTCAGTGACGGTAGCTCCTCAAGGCCACTGGCCAGAGGCCAGTATCCTGTCTGGGAGAAATGGGCAGCCCACCTGAAGGCCTGAGCGTGGCCTGCCACCACCTCCAAGTCATGGCTCAGCAGACAGAAACTACAGACCCCAGGACTCCTCCTGCCTGATTTTATCAAGAGAGGGGAAGCTGTGGCGCCCCACCCAGGCATCACTTCCTCCAGGAAGCCTTCCCTCTCTCCCCTTGTGAATTTCCAAGGCTTTGTCTACTCCCTCAGGCAGTATAAGGTAGTGGATAAGAGCTCCAGGCCCCACAGTCTGGGTTCGAGCCCCAGATCTACCTCCCACAGCTGTGTGCCCCTTCCCAGGCCTCAGGTCCCCGTGCCTGGAAAGAGCTGCAAGCCTCACCTCCGAGAGCAGTGATGTGGAGCCAAGAGGCCTGGGACCTGGCAGGTGTTCAGTGCCTCATACTTCTGCCATTCCCACCATTAGTCTGACAGCAGCTACTATTCTGCACCAGAACCAGCTTATCATTCTCCTACCCAGCCCATGGGCTCCTTCTGAGCACCTCAAATGTGAGATCGTGGGAGTCCTCAGCCTAGGCCCTGGTGTGGACACGTGGCTAATGCATCCTTTTAATGAGCAAAGGCGTCCGTGGGCATGTGTGCATCTCACTCCACACCTAGAACCACCACCCGTGCACAGTGTCGGCTCCAGGGTCAAGCTAGCTGAGAGGGATGAGCCAGGAGCCGGGCCTGACCACTGGCATGCCCACCCTGGCCTAAGAGCTGTCCCTGGCTGGGGTCACATCTCCCTGCTGTCCAATCCCCCGAGAGCTCAAGCTCACCTTGCCCTGGAGGACAGAAAAGAGGCTGCTCTTTAAGGCCACAGTGCAAAGCCATGAGGACCCCCAGGGAACCTGAGGGCCTGGAGAAAACAGCCATTTTCGAGAGAGGGCCATGCCCCCCATTGTGGTCTGAATGTTTATATCCCCCCCAAATTCGTATGAGGAAATCCTCTTCCTGAGATGATGGTGTTGGGAGGTGGGGCCTCTGGGAGGTGGTTAGGCCCTAGGAGCGGAGCCCTCATGAATGGGATGAGTGCCCTTGTAAAAGAGGCCCGAGAGAGGCCCTAGCCCCTTCCACAACATGAGGCTGCAGTGAGAAGGCATCTCCTGAGAACCAGGAAGTGGGCCCTCACCAGACACCGAATCCGCCTGCACCTTGATCTTGGAATTCCCAGCCTCTCCACTGTGAGAAATTTACGTTGTTTATAAGCCACTAGTTTATGGTATTTTTATTGCAGCATCCTGAATAGACCAAGATACCCCCTAAACAGGGAAAGAAAAATAATAAATGCTTAGTCACTGTCTCTCTCTCTCCTGGACACGAAAGTGTCAAGGCAGACCACTTTAAGAACTACAGTGCCCAGTGTGAGTTTTGTTCACCTCGACCTATTGTTTCGCGGCAAAAGACCCGAATATCCATGAAGAGTTTTACAAACATGACATATTGTTACGGTTATAGTCAAGCAGTGGGCTCTAGAAACCCCTAAAGTTACATGTAACATTTTATGAGTGTGTACATTTTTCTGGGGAGAGATTCTTGAAAGGTCTGTAAACCAAAAAGGTTAAGAAACGCAGAAAAGAAAGCAAGTCCTTTGGCTCAGAAAGACACCAGAATAGAAACAGCGATGTGACGGCACATTACGCAGACCCCCAACCCCTGGGCTTCAGCCGGCCACCCTCCAGCCCAGGCCCCTACCTCGCGGACAGCATCAGGCAGGACTGGGGAGTCTCAATCTTCAGGGCGTAGGGGACTTTCTCCGTCACGGGGCGGCTGACCTGGAAGACGGACAGCAGCCCCTTCAGGGTGGGCAGGGAGGGGCAAGCACACACAGCTTCCTCTCCAGGTGGCAGATGGCTGGGTTCCCCCACAGCGGCTCTCGAGCCTCAGTCTCCCAGCGGTCAAGGGGCAAAACCTGCTCCAACAGCAGGTGCTGCTGAGCGGCCCAGCGGCACTCTCATGCCTGGCCACTCGCCCACCTCCGGGAAGCCTGGGCCGCCCCAGGTGCTCTGAGTGCTGGACAGGCGCCTGCTCAGTGGCCACGGCTTTCTCCCGTGGGCTCCCGGGTAGAGCTTTTGATGCAAAAAGAGAATAAACCTCCCCACGAGAGGGGCGCTTCCTTCTTCCCCTGCCCCACGGTGAAGCGCCTACAGGGTTGAGTGACCCTCCCGTGCCTCTTCCAGCTCTCCTGGCCGCCTCCCTTCTGCCCTGGAGAATGACATCCCCCTGCGGCTCTGCTGTCTCTCGGGGTTCCCCTCTCTGACCCCAGCCCTGTAGCACCAGAATCAGCTTCCTAAAACCTGCTCCCAAATGCCCCCACCTTCAGGACCAAGTTACACGGAGCTAAGCCACCTTCAGACGCCGTGTTCACAGCAGCATTACTCACAACCGCCACAGGGGGGACGCAACCAAGTGTCCCCGACAGAGGACTGGGTACGCGAAATGTGGCCTGGTCCACACAATGGAAGGAAACTCTGACACATGCGGCAGACAGCATGGCATGCTGCTAAGTGAAACAAGCCAGTCACAAAAGGCCAAATGCTAAGTCCCTTCATATGAGGTCCCTGGAGTAGGCACGTTCACAGAGACAGAAAGCGGACTCGTGGGCGCCTCGGGGTGTGGGAATGGAGGGTCAAGGTTTGTGGGGGACAGAGTTTCAGTCTGGGAAGATGCAAAGGTCTGGAGATGGAAGGCAGTGCTGGCTGCACAACAATATGAATACACGTAATGCCACTGAACTCAACACTTGAAAATGGCTAAGATGGTAGATGCTGTGTGTATTTTGCCCAAGTTACCCAAACACTGGCTTGCTCCCTCCTTTGCTTATGCATTCTCCTCCTTGTAGGATGGCCTTCCCCCTCTCCCATCCCCATCTGACCAAATATTTTCCACCCTGAGGGTTTAGGCCCTCTCCTCCAGGAAGCCCTCTGCCTCCTCCCCTTACCCTGGACCACCCACAGCTTAAGCCTGCTGGAGCCCGAGGTTGACACTGTCTCCTCAGGGCCTCTCTCTCCCAGCTGGTCCGGGCGCTTTCAGAAGCCGGACGCTGTCTCCTCCCGCGGGTCGCCCTGACCTCCCCCCCGGGGGGGCCCAGCCCCAGGCGTCTACCTTCATGCTGGCCACGGCCAATGAGCTCTTCAGCCGGTACTTCCCGTCCTTCTGGGGATACGTGTACAGGAGCATGTCGCTCATCTGGGGAGGGAAACCCTGTCAGACGTGTCCAGGCCCCAGAAGGCTGGGCCAGGAGGCGTCTGTGGCTGGAGCATCCTGGAGCTCCGGGGTGCTCAGGTATCTTCATTCCCCGGTGACCCCACAGGTGAGCAAAAATATTATATGCTAAAACAGGAGCCCTCCCCCACAATTCCACTCCTAGTCTGATGCTCAAAAGGAATAAATGCACGTGCCCTCAAGGTCATGTGTAAGAATATTCAGAGCAGCTTTGTTCTCAACAGCCAAAAAGTGGGACCACCCCACCTGCCTGTCAGCAGGTGAAAGGGTAGACAGACGGTGGTCCAGCCATGCTACGGACCTCTGCACAGTAACCGGAAGGAACACACTGCTCTCCGACCACAGTGGTGTGAAGCAATCTCAAAGTCATGCAACAGAGCACACTCTGTTGGGGCCACTTATAGGACATTCCGGAGCTGGCAAAACTAACCTTCAGTGACAGAAATCAGGCCAGTGGCTGCCCGGCCCCTGGTGCTGCCAGGGGCTCAGGGTGCTCACTAGGGGCTGGAAATGGTCCCCGTCTAGACCCAGGTGGTGGCTACACAGTGATACAGTCAGCACAGACCCACACATACATGCATGAGTGATGCAGTCCACTCAATGTCAATTAAACCTCAACAAAGCATAGTTAAGGAAGGGAGGGAGGGGTGAGGAAGAAGAGAGAGACTCCTTGAGGACAGGGACCTGGCAGGTTCTGCTCGCAGCTGTGCCTCTGGTGCCCCGCACAGAGTAGGTGCTCAACGGATGTTCCCTGAATGAACAACGGAAGCTCTTTCCCCATGCAGGGCAGACAGGAAGAAATGAAAGTCCCTTCACCTCTCAGGAGGGAGTGCTTGGTTTAGACAAAAGGTTTCAATTCCAAAAGGACACGGCCATGTTTGAGTTGTCACTCCTGACCCCTGCGTACCAGCTCTGTGACTGCAGACGGACCGTTTCCTGAGTGGAGTCTCAGCTTCCTCACCTGGGAAATGGGGGCATCCCTACCCAGCTTACCATGGGTGCTGAGAGAGGGCATTCGGCACGAGCCAACAGGGGCCAGGGTGAGCCCTCCAGGCACAGGGGCCAATGTGAACTAGGGTGTTGTGAAGACTAGACAGGATGCTGCATGTCAGCGTCTGAACCGGGGAGAAAGTGGAATTAACACGTCCTCTCCCCTGGCAGATGGAGCTTGCTGAGGGAACGAAATAAATGTTTTCCCACCACCGGCTCTTCTTGGGAACCCAAGGTCACAGCCACGGCAGTACAGGAGAGCTGGAGGGGCCCCAACCCGCCGTGTGACCTCAGGAGTCTTTCCTTCTCTCTGGCCCCCTGTCTCCACACGAAGCTGGGGTAGATGAGCGGGTGGGAACATCTTTTCTGTAAAAGGCCAGGCAGTGGATATTTCAGGCTTTGCATGGTCTCTGCAGCAGCTCCTCAACTCCGCTGTTGTGCAAAGGCAGCCCCACACGGCCCGCAGGGAATGCGCTTGGCTGGGCCCACCAGAGCTATCTCCACAAAAGCTCACTGTGGCCTGCTGGCTATTGTGGGCTGACCCATGATCACAGCCCGTTCCTGCTCTGCCTTCCCAGGGTGTCAAGGGCCAGGGTATGTCAACACTGACTCTGCCCGGCACTGGGCCAAACCCCAGACATGAGCGATCTCACTTCAATCTCCCCGCAATTCCAGAGGGCAGGCACTATTATCACCATCCCCATTTCCCAGAGGGAAAAACGGGGGCCCAGAGACACCAGACACCATGCCTGAGGTCACAGAGCTAGCAGGTGGTGATGTCAGGGCTGTGGATCCATGAGTGGTTTCACAGTGGACTCCTCCAACTGTGGACGAGGATGAAACCTAGCACAAAGCCTTGCTCGTGAACCCTCCCAGCGCCAGGGAACTGTGGGCCTCTCTGTGCCTGCCCCTCGAGTGTGGCAATGACCACAAGCCTCCCGGGGTTTCCTTCGTACTTCAGGACCTGGAGGCCTAACTGCCTGTGTTTCCCCTCCCTTCTTCAACGTGTGTTTCCCAGTCCCCGTCTGGAGAAAGGAGGAAGACTCCTTTGTGAACAGGGAGGGGACTCTCCCACCCTGAGGAGCCCCCAGTGGGCATCCCACCTGCAGCTTGGGGATGCGGGGCCCAGTGGGACCCTTTTTTCGGCCTCACCGAAAGCCCCGTGTGCTGGCGTGCAGACGCCCGACTCTGTTCTGCAGCTCAGATTACTTTCTAAACCTGACACCTCTGAGAAAGAAAAGTTCCTTCCCCAGTGTGTTTGTTCCCCATGGCGCTCCCTGGCTCGAGCACCTGCCCGCCCACCTCTGCCCATGGCTGTGCCTCTGTGAGACAGGTATGAACACCTGCTCAGTGGAAGGGCTTGTGCTGAGACACAGGCAGAGGAGGACCCAGGCTCAGACCTTGGGGCACAGAGGGGTGCAGGCCCACGACTGGGTGGAGCACTGCTCTGAGGAAGGGCTGTGCTCAATGGGAGGGAGCGTGGGGAGAAGGAAGAAGGAAAGGTAGTGGGGGGGAGGGTTGGGAAGAAAGGGGTGAGAGGCACGGCTTCCATAATGCTGCCATCTGAGCATGGCTTGAAGGACGGAGAGGAGCAGAGACAGGCAGATCTCAAGCCAGCCTTGCATGCCTGTGGGCTGGGGGTACAGACGAGGCAGAAGATGGCTGAGAGCAATGTGTGAAGGGCCATGATGCTGCATCTTTATCTGGCATTCAAGGTCCCTGGGAAAGGTGCACAGACCACTGAGCTGTGGCCAGATGGCACATGGCTGGGGGACCAGGAGGGAGCTCCCTGCTTCAGCTGCCGTCTCACGCTTCCCTCACGTGCCGGAGGGAGACAGTGACCCTCTTTCAAAAGATTGAGGTGCCAAAGCATGGGGCAGTGATGGGGTGTACCCGTGGGTCTCTGCCAGCAGGGAGGGAGGAAACTATGACAGCTGCTATCAAACAAGCGGCTTCCACGTGCCAGGCACACAAGTCTCATTTAATTCTCAAAACCACCTAGGATTTCTACCTGGTGAGAAACCCGAGGCTCCCACGTATCTGTGACTTGGCTGAGGGCCACGGAGAAAGCAAGTATCCTACGCATCAGGATCTAACCAGCTCGCTCTGGCTCACCACCAAAGAGACACCCTAAATTCAGAGACATGGATTTCTCGTCATGGAAACAGTTTTTAAATAGACATGGAACAAGGCACAGCCTCCCCCACTGGAGTCCCAGAGCCACGGCAGGTAGGGGCCACGTCCACACACCAGTACAGACACTGGCACACAGAAGGAAACGGACAAGGAGCTGTAGAAGGAATGAAGTTACACCAGGCAGGGAGTTCCCCAACACTGGAGGTGTGTAAGTAGAGGTAGAGAAAAAACTACCTACAGAAAGGGACTCAAATGTCTGTGGTGGCTTTTTAAAATCCTTTTTAGAACCTAAATCTGAACCATGTGCTGCTTGGCTCTCAGATCACTTTCTTTTCTTTTTCTTTTTCTTTTTTTGAGTTGGTGTCTCACTCTGTCACCCAGGCTGGAGTGCTGCAGTGGTACACTCATGGCCCATCATAGCCTTGACCTCCTGGGCTCAGGCGATCCTTCCATCTCAGCCTCCTGAGTAGCTGGGACTACAGGTACACACCACCACGCCTGGTTAATATTTTTAAAATTTTTTTTGTAGAGATGAGGTCTCACTATGATGTCCAGGCTGGTCTTGAACTTCAATACTCCCACCTTAGCCTCCCAAAGTGCTGGGATGATAGGTGTGAGCCACCATGCCCAGCCACTGAGAACACTTTCAAAGTTTCCCCTGGAGACTCAGCTATACAGAATGGTCCGCATCCTCAAAATTCCACTCTGTTCTACTCTTCCCGCCTCCTTCTATTTGTCCTTCCGCTGTCTGCAGCCAAATCCTTCCCCTTTCACCACAGCGCTGACCAGCCCAAGCCAGGGGCTATCCCAGAGGTAAGAGGGAGCAGAGGTGAGGCTGGGCCAAGGCTTCAGGACACAAGCCACTGAGGCCCACAAAACCCAGTCAACGACTCCACACTGTCTGGCCAGACTCAAGATTTCTCTACCCAGTGCCACAAGCTCTTTCCAGAATTCAGCTCTCAAGCAGCCCCTCTAAGGGCAGGGTCTATCTGGGGGTATGGGGAAGATGCCATCATGAGTGGAAGGGTCTGCCTGCAGCCAAAGATTTCTTGAGGCTCACAGAGGTTCTTCGAACACACCATACTTCTCACACCTCTGTCCTCTACATATGCCCTTCCCTCTCCTGAAACCCCTTTCTCGGCCTGACTGACAAACTCCTATCCTTCTTTCCTGGCTGAACTCAGGGGACATTTTCTCCAGGAATCACATGGAGCACCAAGCACGCTCGCAGCACCCAGTGCACACGCCACGAACAGCACAGTCGCCCCTCCTTGTCTGTTTTTTCCCTCTTCTCCACTTCCTCAGTGCCCCAAGATTCCTTCTGGAGCACTCTTACAGGTCTACAGTTACAAACGTCTGCTGGTGTCTCCCTCCCTTGGGATTCAGAAGGCTGAGGGCAAGACAGCCCTCCTCTCATGGCCTCCAGGACCAGTGCACACCCGGCATTCAGGAACAGCCCTAGACAGAGAGGGCTGGCAGCACTCATGCAGGGTCTATTCGCAGGGACATCACGCAACTCCAGCACAGTCTGAGGAGGCCGAGAGGCAACCCTGCTGGACGGCCATAAGGAATGACCGCAAAGCGCGCGGGAGCGGGCAGGAAAACGGGACCCAGCAGACAGAAGGGCTTAAAGGCACGGCGACTGGGCGGGGGTGGGGGTGGACAGCGGGGCTGAGGCAAGGGGCTATTGGTAGCTCGGCAGCCAGCAAGGCTGATACTGCTGCACCACAGGACAGGCCTGGCTATTCCCCGATGTGCAAGATCGTGGCTGTAAACAATTAAAAATGTTAAATTAGTCTCCTGCACAGTGGCACTGGGTAGAGAAATCTTGAGCACTGGACGTGGGTTATGGTCCTGGGCTCCCTTCTAGGCCGCCAGCCCGCGGGAGGCCTGGCTGAGGTGACTTTCCTTTCTGGACCTCAGTTTTCCCAGGTATTAGATAAGGTGGTTGGACAGACAGTTATTCGCAGCTTGAGAGCTTCCTGGTTTTAAGACATTTAAGGTAGGGTTTTGGGCAATTCAATGTTAACAACATTCCATTCAAAATCATTCAAATACGAACGATCCAAGTGTTAAGCTCTCAGCTTTCCAGAAAGCTCAGAATACAGAGGAATCCCCACGCTATCATTTTTGCTCTGCCCCACTCTCCCCTGCCCATTTCTGCTTGTCCTTGAATCCAGGCCCTAGGAAACGTCACAGGATTTGACAGGTCCAGAGCTTGGTTCGGAGGCCTGGCACTTACCAGAAACAGGTGCCGGGGGCGTCTGTTCTTCCCTGTTACTTTCATTAGTGTCCCCTCCTTTAGAAACTCCTGTAGGGAGAGAAGCAGGCCTCCTGATCAGGCTGATGCCCCTGCTACCTTGAAAAGGTAGTTTCCCTAGGGGAAACTTAGATCTTGAGGCCTCCCTGAGAACCACAGAGCAGCTCATGGGTAAATTCCCAGGTCAGGAGAGATGCTCATATATGCTGGAGCAGGGTTTGGATCATCATCCTGAAAGACACAGTCCCCAACGCCATATCCCAAAAGCCTAAATCTCAAGAGCCTTAAATCCCCCAAACCAAGCCAGGCACCATGACACGTGCCTGCAGTGTCCCAGCTACTTGGGAGGGTCACTTGAGCCCAGCAGTTTGGCCTGGGAAACATAATGAGACTCCATCTCAAAGAACAAAAACAAAACAAGACAAAAATCATCAAATCTTAAAAATCACAATCAGAGGATGGTTGCATCTGTTAGGCAGAAATATAACCTTGTTACTGTCTTTGTTGAAAATTAAAGGCCGGGCTCAGTGGCTCAGCCTGTAATCCCAGCACTTTGGGAGGCCGAGGTGAGTGGATTGTCTGAGCCCATGGGTTCGAGACCAGCCTGGGCAACTTGGCGAGACCTCGTCTCTACAATAAATCAAAAAAATTAGCTGAGCATGGTAGTGCACACCTGTAGTTCTGGCTACTTGGAAGGCTGAGGCAGAAGGATCGCTGGAGCCCAGCAGGTCGACACTGGGGTGACCATGAGTGTACCACTGCACTCCAGCCTGGGCGACGGAGTGAGATTCCAAGTCAAAAAAAAAAAAAACAACAAAGAAAATTAAGTATGTTTTAATGAGATGCGTACAAGTGCCAAGGTGACAGGGATGAACTTGTGATGTTTAATTTTAGGCATCAACTTGACTGGATTAAGGAATTCCTAGAAACCTGGTAAAGCAATTTGCTATGCTATGTATTCACTATGTATTTCATCTTCACATCGTTTTCAATACTGGAGGTATAAATTGTGTAGAGACTTTTAGAGAATTCTAGTTCAAGTATTTTTTTTTTTTTTTTACAAATGTTGGTCCATGAAAGTACATTATCACAGTGTTGACTTTGTGTGTAAGCACTGCGTGTATATACAAAAACGTTGAAACTTCCTTAAAAATGAAGAGATGTCCTTTTTGTGCAGGTACTTTGTGAATGATAAAATTTCTTGAGATCTTGGCTCTTTGGGGGTCTGCATGGACCTGTCACAGTTTTTATTCTTTTAAGAGTTGGGGTTTCCTTCTGTTGCCCAGGCTAGAGTGCAGTGGCATCATCATGGCTCACCGCAGATCTCTGTGTCTCAAGCAAGGCTTCTGCCTCAGTCTCTCCAGTAGCTGGGACTATAGGCATGTGTCACGGCACCCGGCCTCCTTTTTTTTTTTTAAATAGAGATGGGGTCTCACTATGTTGCCCAGGCTGTTCCATCACAGTTTTTGACCAATCTTGTCAAAAGATTGAAGTAGTCTGTCCTGGTATTTTATTTTATTTTATTTATTTTATTTTATTTTAGAGTTGGAGTCTCACTCAGTCGCCCAGACTGGAGTGCAGTGGCCGCTCCCGGCCACCGCAGCCTCGACCTTCTGGGCTCCAGCGATCCTTCCGCCTCAGCCTTCCAAGTAGCTGGAACTACAGGCATGCACTACCATGCCTGGCTGATTTTTTTGATTTTTATTGTAGAGATGAGGTCTTGCCAAGTTGCCCAGGCGGGTCTCGAACCCACTGGCTCAGGCAATTCACTCACCTCGGCCTCCCAAGGCGCGGGATGATATGCTGAGCCACCGAGCCAGGCCTGTCCTGGTATTTTAGATGACCGCAGTTATACAGCTGGGTATGCACACAATGACCAACCACAGTGATATGCGTTTATGCATTTCCCTTTTGACCTATTTTTTTATGTTTTTATGTTTCTCAAATGAATAAATGCCCTTTCAAAAATGCAAATAATTATCTTTTTGAGATTTTTTCTAAATTATTTTTTTTCCAGATTTATACTTATAGGACTTTGACCATTCAGGATTTCCATATTTGGGATTACAGCATTCAGGTGTGTGTTTTCAGGATTATGATGAGCTCCTACTGGAGTGGGACTAAAGACAGGCAGATCAGCCTCTCGGAGTGCCCCCTTGGCCCGCACGACCAGATACTGAGATCCAGATATACAGATTGGCCCACACCATGACTCCGCCCTGGTTTGCCCCAGGAGGAGTTCATTCAGGACAGAGCCTAGAAGGTTTGCTAAAACAGCTGACGACCCATGAGCGGTTGCTACAGCTCCCTTAATTCTGGAGGATGCAAATAGATGCTTAATAAATATTTACCAGACTCATGATCCTGGCTAAAACACGTAGTGTGATCTTACAGGATCTCAGACCAGTGAGATCTCTGCTAATTTTGAGTAAAATCCCCCAAGCACGGTTGTTCATTCCTTTTCTCTTGTCCTTCATGGACCATCATGGGTAATAAAGATATCTGGGACTATCTGGGGGGCTGAGTTCTATGATTTCCATTCAGAAGCTTAAAAGAGAGTAAATTTGTCGCTTAAAGAATTTTTTTAAAGACGTTTTCTGGGGGCTTGCTGTTGGAGAGATCGTTTTCGACATTCCTAGCAACTCTGAACTAAAACAACTTAGTGCCTCCTCTTCTTGGAGGTCGGGAGAGCTGTGGAGAACACGGAATGCCTGGTGCTGTGCTTGAAGAGCCCCGGAAGCATGGGGTGGACAGCCCCAGGGGAGGCAGCTATGGGCCGTGGACAGCCAAGCCCAGTGAGCCCACCCCCGCCTGCCCTCCACGGGCAGACGGCACCTGCAGCCAGGCCTGTCTGGGCCCGCCCAGCAGAACAATGGTGAGGCTTATCAGAGTCTTGCCTGCCTGCCCTCTGCCCCTGCCCACAGTGGTGGCAGCACTCACCCTTCCTGGCTGGAGGAGATCCCCTTGGCCCCGAACGCTGTGCTCAATGTGGACCAGCTTCTGAAGGTTTTCCTGTGAGCAAAGCAGGGCAAGGGGGAGATGGTCAGGGCCCCTTGGATAGGCCTTGTCACCTTTGTGAGAGAGGGCATTGCTTCCGGTTAAGAGGAAAATGGGGCCCAGAAAGGCCTGCCCCAAATCAGAACACCTTTCAGAGGCAAGACCGGGACCCAAGCCTGGGTCTGCAGGATGCCAAGGTGGCAGGCTGTCTGTCAGTGGGCTAGTCCCTCTGGGCCTGAACTCATCGTCTTTCTGTGTGTCGTGGGAGTGGCCACTGGGCCTCGTGGTACCATCTGACACCCCTGTTTGTCTCCGGGTCACCCCATGACCCGTGGACACTCTAAGCCTGTGTCCCTCCTGAGGCCTGGAGCATCTGGACCTTGGGAACCTAGGACCCCAGGTAAGACTCCGGCTCTCCTGGCTGGCAGCTCATGGTGGAGGCCCTTGGAGGACAGCCACCAAGAAAACACACCATCAGGGAAGGAAACTGGGTCCCCTCTCCCTGAAGACTCATTGTCAGAAAAATACGTGTGCCTGGGAACTCCCTGTCAGTCCTTCACTGGCTATCCAAAATACGTCCAGTGACACATCTCTGTTTCCTATGCATGGTGCCCCCAATCCTAGAAGAAACAAGTGCCCACCCTGTTGGCAGGTGCCCCTTGACCCATACACAGGGGCAGGTTCTAAAGTAGTCTCATCAGGTGAACATCGTGTATAGAGAAATCGCCTCTAAAAGTCCTTTCTATTATCCATGGTTTGGGGCATAAAATCCAACACAGTAAAAAAAGGAGTAATAGTCTGATTTCCATTTAATGATGTGGAAAGCCACAAGAGAACACTGCTCTCATCTTCACAGTGAGAAGAAACCAGATAACCTACAAAACCAGAATTTTTCTTAAGCCTGTGAGAGAGCAGCGGCAACCGAGGGGACTGAATTCTGACTGGCAGGAGCCTCTGCAGAGAAAAGACCAGCAGGAGCTGTCGTGCCTCTGGTGACAGGCAGCCGGAAGAGGCGGTCTGTATAAAGCAAAGGAAGAAGAAAGCAGTACAATGTCAATGAACTCTTAAAGGTCAAATGTGGTTGGGGGACCACTCTAGACTCGCAGGGAGTTGCAGACACCAGAGGGACTACACTCACTTGCGAGCTCTTTTCTAGGAAGCCCCCTGGGATGGGGATGTGGGTGGGCTGCCAGGGGGACTGGCCCCAAACCCTGCCCACCCCGCTTACTCAGGACCCTCTCCCATACAAGGCTTCAGCCACAGGGGGAAGCCAGGAAACCCTCCGGCCTTCAGAGCCGTGGCAAAGACCCACTGCTCTGAGGAAAGGTAGAAGCAAGAGCTATCTGCCCCTAGGAAAGAGGGTGGTAATACCATGCAGAGGTCAGTTATCATTGAGGCATGGGCAGAAATCTGTCCAAGGCCAGTCACAGATCCAAGACAGGGCTGGGCTGCTGTAGAAGGGAGGGGCAGGAATGCTGAGGGAGCCTGGCTCACAGGTCTTGCTTCAGATGGACGACTGTGCAGGAGGTTCAAGAATGCCCTTGTGTGCACTGTAAACCTCGCACGGAGAAACAAGACGCAGTGGTTCACCTCTGAGAAGGGGCAAGAGCATGGGAAGAGATCCTTTCTGTGGTGCAGAGGTCACTCAAAGCTAAACATGGAGCAGGAATAAGAGAAAAACTCTCTGGCTCCACAGGCTCCACAAATAGCACAAGGTAATAACAGCAGCCAGTCCCCTGCTGGAGGAACACAAAGTCTGGGGGGCACCAAGGTGACGATGTGACAACAAAACCCAAACCCAGCTCAAGTACTGACTGGATCGACCCAGCTGCCCCTGCCCCTCACTGTGACCAGCATGACCAAAAAAGAGGCCTGCCCACTTCTAAATATCTTTTTTTTTTTGAGTTGTGATCTCACTCTGTCACCCAGGCACGACCATGGCTACTGCAGCATCTACTTGCTGGGTTCAGGCAATCCTTGCACCTCAGCCTTCCAAGTAGCAGACACTACAGGTGAGTGCCACCACACCTGGCTAATTTATTGATTTACAGTAGAGATAAGGTCTTGCCAAGTTGCCCAGGCTGGTCTTGATTGCCCAGGCAATCTTCTTGCCTCTGCCTTGAGGGTAAATACTATCATTTCAGTCTCTACAGACATAACGCCACGCACAATGTCTGGCATCCAATAATATGTTATGAGAAACACAAAAAAAGCAAGAATAAAACTTGCCAAATTCCAAGAGATAAAGCACAGATTTTGGAGCTAACAGACAGGGATTTTGTAGTAATTATGATTAGGAGGCTAAAGGTGCAAGTGGAAAAGGAAGACTACATCTATGAGTGATGGAGAGAATCTCAGCAGAGATGGAAAATGATGCAAGAGTCAAATGGAAATGTTAAAAGTAAGAACAGTATAGGAAACAAAGAACTCCTCTAACAGGGTTAGCAGCAAACTGAACACAGCTGAGGCAAGAATCAATGAACTTGAAGATAAATCAGAAGGGATTATCCAAACTGAAACACAAACACAAAGGGGTGGGGGGGGGAGACAGAGCATCCAAGATAATTTTTCAAACATGACAAACCACAACAAATCACATATCTAAGATACTCAAGAACTACAGCAGGATAAATACTACCCCATTTCCCCATAAAACGCACACAGAGACATCATAGTCAAACTTCTAAAAATCAGATAAAAAGAGAAGATCTTGTAGCCAGTCAGAAAAAAGGAACACATTACTGAAGGAAGGACATTACAGCAGACTTTTCACAGAAACTATGGAAGCCAAAATACAGTGGAGTGGCTTTTTTTTTTTTTTTTTTTGAGTTGGAGTCTCACTCCATCGCCCAGGCTGGAATGCAGTGGTATGCTCATGGCCACCCCAGCATTGACCTGCTGGGCTCTGGTGGTCCTTCTGCCTCAGTCTTCCAAGTAGCCAGAACTATAGGCGTGTGCTACCACGCCCAGCTAATTTTTAAAATTTATTATAGAGACGAGGTCTCGCCAAGTTGCCTGGGCTGGTCTTGAATTCATGGGCTCAGGCAATCCACTTGCCTCGGCCTCCCAAAGTGTTGGGATTACAGGCGGAGCCACCAAGCCTGGTATGAGTGGCATCTTTAAAGCACTGAGTATAGAAATCTGTCAGTCAGATTTCTATACTCTGTGAACAATATCTTTCACATATTAAGGTAAACTGAACAATTAAGTTAATGGTAGATGGTGGGAGCCATGTTTCTCACTGTTGGAGTGGGAATTTATAAGCAAGTAAGGGGAGGCAATGAGAATGATCCATGTGGTGATGCTTAGAGTAGGAGACCGTAAGAACTCATAGTTGGCTTAATATTCAGATACAGATAATTATGGATGAAAATACCTATAGATCTGAGTATAGACACATATGTATTTCTTTGCTGTTAGCTAAGAGGGCTTAAAAGAAATGTAGTTAGCCGGGCTCAGTGGCTCAGCCTGTAATCCCGTGCTTTGAGAGGCTGAGGTGAGTGGATTGCTTGAGCCCGTGGGTTCGAGAACCACCCGGGCCACTTGGCGAGACCTCATCTCTACAATAAATCAAAAAATCAGCTGGGCATGGTAGCGCATGCCTGTAATTCCAGTTATTCAGAAGGCTGAGGTGGAAGGATCGCCGGAGCCCAGGAGGTCGAGGCTGTGGTGGCCGGGAGTGGCCACTGCACTCCAGTCTGGGTGACAGAGTGAGATTTCAACTCAAAAAAAAAAAGAAATGTAGCTTGGTTTCTAATACCATTATCCAATTAAGGGAGCCAGGACTCCTTGGAGAAATGGCTGATTCTAAGATTGAGACAGGAAATATGAAAGATGAGTGAGCATGGAGCGTCTTGTAGTGACCGAAAGTAGCAAAGTGCTCAAAAACATACAAACAAACACACCCAAACCTATGCTGATGGGGGTATGTGAAAGGAACACAGAAACCAACGGAAAGCACTCCAAACAGTCAAAACTGGAACAATTTGGGAAAGAAGACAAAACAACATAGGATATAACCCAAAGAATTAAATAAATATCCATGAGTCCATAAATAATTGGTCTAGATACAATGATTGGATACATTACTCAAGGAGGGAGAAGAAACCAGTCTCCCATGCAGAAGAATTCCAAGTAATCCAGGCAGATACTCTGCCCTCAAGGACAGGGAGTGTCACTCCCCACTCCTTACGTGTGGGCTGCATACAGTGACTCCCCTCCAAAGAGTATGGAAGAGGGGGGGTGGAAGTGGGGATGGGGACAGCAGCTTTACAGTGGAGAAGCCTAACACACACAACCTCAGCCAGATGATCAAGGTCACCATCAACAGTTGATAGCTCATGGTGCTGGTATGTGCCTTCACACGATGTGAGGAAAATGGTGCCTTACATCTGTGATCCTCTTCCCGAATCACCATAAACCCTGTCTAATCCTGAGAAAAACACCAGCAATTTTCAGCAGAAGGGCACCTACCATATACTCGACCAGCTTCCTCAAAACTGTCAAGGTCATCAAAAACAAGAAAAATCTGAGAGACTATTGCATGAAGAGGGACCTAAGGAGACGTGATGACTAAATGTAACATGGGATCTTTGAACAAGATATTACGTAAAACTCAGGAAATCTGAAGGAACAATAGCCTTCAGCTAATAATACTGTATCAACATCGGTCCTTTAATATAACACAGGTACCACGCTAATATAAGATGGTCATGACAGAGGAAACAGTGTATAGGGCATATGGGAACTCTCTGTACCATCATCTCAATCTTTTCTGTAAAATGGTTCTACGGTCAGGTGTGGTGGCTCATGCTTGTAATTCCAGCGCTTTGGAAGGCTGAGGTGGGAGGACGGCTTGAACCCAGGAGTCTGAGCCAGCCTGGGCAGCATGGCAGGGCCTCATCTCTACAAAAAGGAAAAAAAATTTTTAAATTAGCTGAGCATGGTGGTGCATGCCTGTAGTCTTCTCTACTAAGGAGGCTGAGGCAGATGGATTGCCTGAGCCCAGGAGGTCGAGGCTGCCGTGAGCTGTGATTGTGCTACCACACTCCAGCCCAGGTGACAGAGTGAGACTCCAACTAAACGAAACGAAACTAAACTAATAAAACAAAACTGTTCTAAAAAATAAAGTCTATTGAGAAAGCTGAATGGTGGTTGTCAGGGGCGGGGGGAATGGGTGCAACATTTCAGCTGGGAAAGATGGAAAGTACTGGAGATGGATGGTGGGGATGGTTGCACCACAGTGGGAATGTGCTTGACACCATTCAACTGCACACATAAGAATGATTAAACTGGTGAATGTCCCACGCAGGGTCTCCACCCAATCATCCCAAGCAAGCATTGAGTGGGGGTCTCTGGCCTGCAGCAGGCCCGGTGCAGCTGTCTACAGCAGGCCCCAGAGACAATGGGCCAGCCCGTGCTTCCTCACACAGCATCCAGCCTTGAACTTGAAGAAAGCCAGGAAGTGTTGCATGTGTTCCTGATCCCATCTCCCAGCCATGGTGGGTGGCTCTCCGAACCCTTTCACACTCCCCCAGTGCCCATCTCCAGGCCGTTGCCCAGGCCAGTCCCTCTTCCCAGAACACCTCTCCTCCCTCTGCCTTCTTGGCACGTGTGCAAACACTCCCTGAGCGGGCACCTACATACCATGTCTTGACAACCCCAGCTGAAAGGGACGCCTCCCTTCTCTGAACCCTGTGGCAATCTCTCTCTCATGACATTTACCATGGTTATTTCCACCCACATGTTTACTGCTTTGTTAAGCCACAAGTTCCTCAAGTCTGGGATTTATGTCTCATTACCTCTGTATCTCATATCTCAGACCCAAACACAGCACAGGGTCAGACACAAAGGAGATGTCCAGTCAGTGCTATTTTCCTTCTTCTTCTTCTGTCTGTAGATGACTCACAGTAAGGATGCTTTGTGACTCTGCCATGGCAAAGCTGAGCAACTCCTCTGCATACATACTACCATTACCTCCCTCTATGCCAGCAGAAGACATGACTAATGGATCACTGAACTCCTTCCCACTCAGCCTCAGAATCAGTGTCAACACCAGCTCTAACATACTTACACCTAGTGAAGCAGTGAGCAAATAACCATGGAAACCACTCGAATGGAGTTGGGATGTGGAATAAAGTCTGCTGTCCTTGGCAGAAACCCAGGGAACACCTGATCCGTTTCTAACGGAGTCATACGCCATCAGAATCAGATGTGCACTTGAAGCCCACATATTCTAGTGGACTCATGACTCTCAAGCCTTTGTGGGTATAACATTTAACTGTGCCACTTGTTAAAAAATGAACATTTCTGGACCCTACTCCCAGAAACTGACTGGGAGGATCTGAGGTATGCCCGGGAACTAGCAGTTTACAAAGCAGCCAGGTGCTGACGCGAATGCTCTCAGACCACAGTTGGGGCATTATTTATCTGGTCTCTACAAGTTTGTAGCTCCCCTCATTGCTCAAACCAGAAGCCCAGAGAGGGACACAAAGTGCCTGAGATAACACAGTAAGTGTCAGGACCAGAAATCAAAGTCCTCTGCAGAGTCCCATGAGAGAGACGGCTGCCTGTAGCTCCCCAGGAGTCAGGTGACACGGGGCAGACAGGGGCCGGGTGGAGAGGTTCCTGGGACCCGTGTCTGAGGAAAGGTGTTGACGAGCCAGACTCACCCCCTGCTCCATGCTGTCGTTGGCACGGTCTGTGACTTTGGAGATGAGGGTCAGCACACCTGGGGAGGGAGTAGAGCAGACAGTTGAGCCACTGCCACCGTTGCATCAGGCCACAGGCACCAACCCCAGCCCTGCCACTCTTGCCTCAGTGGTTTGGATACCCTGTGTCTCAGTCCCTGGCTGCCAACTGAATATGTTACAACAGGAAGTGTCCTGACAGGTCATGTGTAGAGATGGCCTCACAGACTTGGGAGGCGACAGGGAGACTGCCATAGCCTTTTGGACCAGGCACCACCCCGCCCATCACCAGATTCTGTCTATCAGTCTATCCTCGGGAGTCCCCATGGTTGAGGTGAAGGGAAAGCGGTCTCAGAGGATTTGGGGGCTCTCACAGAAGTCCCGGATGCATCACATGCAGCACACATCCAGCTGGTAGGGGTGGCGCTACATCCTGAGCTTGGGAACGCGCACAGAGTCCAGAGTCTGGGGAGAGGAGCCCACACAGGCACGTGGGCCCTGTCCCCAGGCCCACACTGGACTTACCCTGTGTGCTGTCGTACTCAGCCGAGTCTGGGCAGAGGTTGTTTAAATAGTCTGTCAGCAGAAGGAGAGCCAAGAGTCAGTTACTCCCTGGGGAGGCCAGCCCCTCCTGCCCACAACGGGGGCCCCTCCTCTCTGGCCAGAGATGGACGTTGGAGAACAGTGAGACATCCACCCTCTCACCGTTAGCCCCATCCTGATGCCACACTAGCCAACACCAGGCTCCCAGGGCTGCCACCAACATTGCTGCCACAGCTGCTTGTCACTCATTGACCCAAGAAACATCCACTGAGCACCTGCTGTGTGTCTGGCACTGGACTATGACTTGGGACACAAGGCGAAGCCCTGCCTCCAAGAAGCGTCCAGTTCGTGGACGGAGATGGATGAGTTGACCAACATAGTAGCGTGTGATGTGTGCTTGTACCCCCGAGGTGCCACACACTGCGGACCCTCCCTGTCGGCTGCTCTTCATCTCACTCACCCCATTCTGGCCATGCTGGCAGGGTTGCTATTTGTTGAACATGCCAGGCTTGTTCCTACCCCAGGGCCTTTGCACTTGCTATTCACCTCACCTGGCACTCTCTTCTTCCAGAATTTTTTCTTTTCTTTTTCTTTGTTTTTTTTGAGTCAGAGTCTTACTCTGTTACCTAGGCTAGACCTGCTGGGCTCAGGTAATCCTTCTACCTCAGCCTTCCAAGTAGCTGAAACTACAGGCGTGTACCACCACGCCTGGATAATTTTTTTTTTTAATTGTAGAGAGGAAGTCTTGCCAAGTTGCCCAGGTTGGTCTTGAACCTCTGGGCTCAGGCAATCCTCTTACCTCTACCTCCCAAACTGCTAGGATTACAGGCGAGAGCCATCTTGCCCATCCCTAGATATTCATATGGCTCATTTCCTCCCTGCACTGAGATCTCTGTTCAATGTCACCTCCTAAGAGAGGTCTTCTCTGACTGCTGAATCTGACACAGTAGTCCTGTTCTCTCTGTCTCGTTTAATTTGCTTTATTTTTCTTTAGAGTTCTTAACACTGGCATTCTATTAGACTCTGATTTGCTTATTTGCTTGTCTAGAGTATCAGCCCTAGAGCGTCACAGAGTTTGTCTGTTTAATCTCCTGCTATCTCACAGCATTGAGCATGGGGCCTGGTACACAGCAGGTGCTCAATCAGGAGTTACTGAACTGGATGAATGGATTCTCTCTCCCCGTGTGTGTATCTCCATGTGTAGCGTCTGTCTCTCTCAGGGAACTGTCAGCTCCCCAGGACAGGGGTCTTTGTCCGCTGGGAGCCAGGCAGAAAAACTAGCCCAGAGTTCAGAACAAAGGCGTGAGTATTCCCAGTAGGCCGAGGTGGGGAGAAAATGACATCCCCGGGGAGAGCTTGCAGAGAGGGAAGGACAGAGGACCCAGGACTGAGCCTGAGAAGCTCTGACATGTGTGGGACAGTGGAGGACGGGAGGCCATCGGCGGAGACAGAGGCGCACACAGAGGTGGGAGAAACGCAGGGGAGGACATGCTGCAGGCACCCCAGGAGGAAAGGACTCCCGAAGCAGGGCGTGGCCAGAGGCAAAGCCACAGGGAGGGCTGGCAGGTCCAGGGTTGAGAATGCCCACTGATTTGGTACAAGGGGGGCTCGGGGGACAGCAGCAGCTTTAGAGAAGTGAGACACTGGCTGAGACAGGGAGGAGATACAGGATGGGGAGAGGGGTGCCACTGGGCTTTGTGTTTCAGGATGGGAGGTGGCCGTTGAAGGAAGCTTCCCAAGGCGGAAGGAGGCTGTTCAGGACTTCGAAACTCAACTGGAGGGAGAGGTGAAGGCAGAGGCCGGCCTCGGCAGGGGCGGGAGGCTGGAAATGGAGAGCCATCCCCCCTCAGCCCCTGCCTGCCAGGCTAGGAGGCAAGTCTGTCATCACACACCTTGCCACAGTCCCCTCCCCCCCAGCTCAGTGTCCCCGGCCTCCTGTGGGGCCCACCTGTGAGAAGCACTTGGTACTGGAAGAGGCGCTGGACCACCCTCAGCAGCCGATGCTTCACGGCTTGGCCACCTCCTTGCAGACTCTCCTGCTCTCAAGAGAGGGGAGGAAGAACTTCATCAGAGACCTCTGCCTTAGGCACTAGACTCACAGTACCCCTTGGACACTGCCCCAACCACACCTCTTCCTGGCCAGGCTGAGCTTCTCTCCCATCTTCAAAACCAGGTTCCCCTCTTCCAGGAAGCCCACCTGGAGTAGCTAGACCCTGCTATGACTGTTCATTTCTCCAGGCCTACAGTTGGTGCTACTGTCAGTACCATGCCTCTCCTAGTCCTTGCTTTTTTTCCTAACATTCGTCATAGAGAAAAGCTCCCCCCACATATACCTTTTCTGCCTAGAAACGGAATTGTGGCCAGTGTGGATAATTTTCTTGATCACCCCCAATGGCCAGGGCCCCAGCTTGGTTCATGCTTTCCAACTGGGAAAGGAGAACTGTCCCTGAGATTCTTAACTGTGGCCAGGGATCCCCGAGTTATCATCTACTGCCCAAGAGGGAACATTCTGGGCTTTCCCTCCTGACAGGTCACCCTCTCGTCCCTCTGGCCAGGTCTTCGCCCTCTGCTCCACATCCTTAGCCCCACCAAGATGGCCCTATCAATTTGCATTAAGCCCTTCTAGGCCCTCCCCTGACCCCTGCATCCTCACAGCGGGGTCTCAGAAGACCACGGGACCCACCTCAAATGCATGGACGGCAGCTGCCAGCTGCGGAGAGTGGAGGCAGTTTTCACCCAGCAGACCTAGGTATCTGTCGAACTGCAGGATGTGAGTGGCGTGGTGATCAAATCCCTGCTCCCGGGCCAGGAAGACGTCGGCCACCTTCTGCTGGCCCTCCCTGCAGCGGGGAGGGGGCGGGACAGTGAGAACTCAGTCTTGTGATCAGTGCAGGGAGTACTGAAGACAGATCCCTGGGTGCAGACCCCAGCTGGAGCCCTGCACACTTGCTTTACTGTGTGGGCCAATGACTTAACATGTCTGTGTTGCAGCTTCTCCATCCGCTAGACGGAGACACCACATCATGGGGTGGTGTTTTCGTCCCTCTGCAGCCCCTGATGCAATGGAGGTAGGGTTGGGGGTCCCAGGACTGCTCACCAGTTTGACAACCTCTCCTCCAGCTCCTCCAGGATGCCTTGGTGAAGGTCGTGGATGGCTGGGAGTTCATTCAGGCCCTGCCTCAGCTCCTCCCGGGTCAATGTGTCTCGGCCCTCGTGGTCCATGTCATCCAATGCCTTCATGACAGCTCCGTGGAAATCCTGAAACCCCAAAAGGCCTGTTACCCACAGGTCAACAGGACTGAGCGTAAGGCTTTCTTGGTCGATGCCCCTGCAGCTTTGGAGCCCTGGCCTACATGAAGACGGCCATGGGAATTTAAGCCAGTCTCAGACTCAACGGCCTCACCTGCAATGCAGGTAGGATCACATACACCTGGTGATCATAGGGCTGCCTTAACTGACACCCAGAAAGCACCCAACACAAGATCCTGGCACAGAGCGGGGCTCGACACATGTGCCTTCCCTTTTTCCTCATTGGTGGACATTCTTCTTTTACAAGATGGGTGAGATATTGGATAATTCCTTTTCTAAAAAATATAAAGTTTTTGCTTTCTAATTATCAGTCTTTGAAGAGGTTTATGTGCTATGCTCTTTCAAAACAAAGTCTAAGGAAGTCATAGGCATCCACTCATGGTTTATTAAGCAGCCACTACAAGTGATAAAAATGGTGATTACATAAAACTATTCAGATCATAGCATTAAAAAATTAAGAAGTTGGGGCAGAAGACAAGACCAGCCACTGCACTCGAGCCTGGGCAATGGAATGAGACTCCAACTCAAAAAAAAAAAAAAAAAAAAATCAAGAAGGTAGACACAGTTGTTTCCACACCCCGATGTAATTGTGTTAGGAAGTGAACAAAGGAAAAAGCCAAAAGAAACAGAATGAAATGCAAACAGTGGCTGTGTCAGGCATGTAGAACGAGAAATGACTTCTAATCTTCTTGTCTCTATTCCCTAAAATTCTCTATCATGATTCAAGTACTTCTAAAATTAAATCAAACATAATAAACATTAAAATTATATGTAGGTTCTCTATTCTGTCCCATTGGTCTATGTACTTGTTTTTATGCCAGTATCAGGCTAATTTGGTTACTATAACTTTGTGGTATATTTTGAAGTCAGGTAGTATGATGCCTCCAGCTTTGTTCTTTTTGCTCAGAACTGCTTTGGCTATTTGGGGTCTTCTGTAGTTCCACATAAATTTTAGATTTTTTCTACTCCTGTGAAGAATGTCATTGGTACTTTGATTGGGATTACACTGAAGCTGTAGATTGCTTTGGGGAGCATTGTCATGTTAACAATACTAGTTCTTGCAATCCATGAGCATGGAATATATTTCCATTTTTTTGCGTGCATCCTCTTCAATTTCTTTCATGAGTGTTTTATGGTTTTCCTTGTTTAGAATTTTAATTTCTTTGGTTAAAGTCCTAGGCATTTTATATTCTTGTAGCTATTGTAAATGGGATTGTTTTCTTGATTTCTTTTTTGGATTGTTTGCTGTTGGTATACATAAATGCTACTAATTTGTATACACTGATTTTGTATACTGCAACTTTACTGAATTTGTTTATCAGTTCTAATAATTTTTTGGTGGCATCTTTTAGGTTTTTCTAAGTATTGGATCTTGTCATCTAGCTATAAATCCCCACACTAACAGTCAACTAATCTTTGACAAAAGTGCCGAGAATATACCATGGGGAAAGGATGGCATTTTCAATAAACGGTCCTAGGAAAACTAGATCGCTATATGCAGAAGACCTTTATCTCTCACCATATACAAAAATCAAACAAACATGGATTAAAGACTTAAATCTAAGACCTGAAACAATGAGACTAGTAGAAGAAAACATTGGGGAAATGCTCCAGGAAATTGGCCTATGCAAAGATTTTCTGTAAGACCGCAAAACTACGGTAACCAAAGCAAAAACAGAGAAATGCTGCTGCACAGCAAAGGATTTCAACTAAGTGGAGAGACAACCCACAGAAGGGGAGAAAATATTCGCAAACTATCCATCTGACAAGGGATTAATCCCCAGAATGTATAGGGAACTCAGACAACTCAAAAGCAAAAAACAAAATAAAAAATCTGCCCCCAAAACAAAAAATAAACAACACAGAATCTGATTCAATCAACTATAGAAATGGTCCCTGAAAGTGTAGCCTTAATAATCTGATTTTATAATGGGCAAAAGATCTCAATAGACATTTATCAAAAGAAGACATACAAATGGGCAACAGATATATGAAAAATGCCCAACATCCCTAATCATCAGAGAAATGCAAATAAAAACGACAATGGATACCATCTCACCCTTATTAAAAAGGTTTTTTATCAAAAAGACAGGCGATAACAGATGCTGGCGAGGATGTGGAGAAGGGGACCACTTGTACATTGCCAGTGGGAATGTAAATTAGTACAGCACCATGGAGAACAGTAAAAACAACAACAACAAAATCTGAAAACAGAAATACCATATGATCTGGCAATCCCACTACTGGCTATATATCCAAAAGAATGAAAATCAGTATATCAAAAAGACATCTGCACACCCATGTTTACCGCAGCACTGTTCACAACAGCCAAGATACAGAATCAACCTGAGTGTCCATCAACAGATAAGTGAATAAAGAAAATGTGGTATATATACTCAATGTAATATTATTCAGCCATAAAAAGAACGAAATCCTGTAATTTGCAGTAACATGGATGGAACTAGAGATCATTATGTTAGACTAAATAAGCCAGGCACCGAAAGACAAACAGTTCTCACTCATGTGTAGGAACTAAAAAAGTGGAACACAGTTGGGTGTGGTGGTATGCACCTCTATCTAGTTCCAGCTACTTGGGAAGCTGAGGTGGGAGGACTTCTTGAACCCAGGAGTTCGAGTCCTGCCTGGGCAACATAGCAAGACACCATCTCTAAGACAAATAAAGTGGATCTCATGAAGATGGAGAGCAGACGGTAGTTTAGTTACCAGAAGGCTAGGTGGGCAGGGGCACGAAAAGAAGTTGATTAATGGGTACAAATATACTGTTTGATAAGAAATAGGATCTAGTGTTAGACGGACCAGTAGGGTGACTATGGTTTGCAATAATCCATTATACATCTCAAAAGAGCTAGAAGAACATGAATGTTTCTAGCATAAAGAAAAGACAAATCTTTAAGGTGATGAATGTCTAAGTATACTGATTTGCTCTTTAAAAATTATATGAATGTATTAAATGATCACATGTACCCCAAAGCTATGTGCATCTATTATGTATCAAGAAAGAAATTTTTAAAAAAAAGAACATAAGACTTCTTTCTCCCTAGGATAGCATTTTATCTTCAAGGCAACCTGCTCTTGTGCGAGGTCCAGCTCTACAGTTTTAGCTACACGGGGGTGGGGGTGGGGGCAGGTGGGAGGAGGATCCTGAAACCACCTTGAACTGTGGAGCAATGCACACTGGGAAAAACTCCAGGTCAGAGATCATGGGTCCCAAATCGGGAAGGTCAAACCACCATCCTAATACTCAGGAAGGATGATCCTCCACCTTGTTGGACTGCCTCCTTAATAGGGCACTCACTACCAGGCAAGACAGCTTATTCCACTGCTAGAAAGGCCTTCTTTATACCAAGATCTGAAAGAGGAAGTACCTGAGAGACGGAATGGGCAGCCCTTCTTCCAGGAAGCCTTTCTGGACCTCTTTTCTTCCAGAAAGACATGCAGAAGAGCTGGGAGGAGTAGAGGTGGCAAGAGAAGGACAGGGAAAAGGGCAGGGAGGTGGGATGGGGAGAGAGTGGGAAAGGGCGAGAGAAAGAAAGACAGACAGGAAAGCAGAGCCATCGAGAGAGGGAGGGAAGGAGAGTGTGAGAGAGAGAACAGAGGGAGGGGGCCATGATAGGGAGAAGAAAGGAGGGCTTGACGGGGAGAAGCAGCAGTGAGAGACACCACCTCATCCGCAATCCCAACATCTGCCCAGAGGCACCCAGACTATCAGACAGGGGAGAGCAGATGTGGCCTTTGCAAAGGTCTCTGCTCCCTGAACACCTCATCCTGTCCTGCACTGACCTCCTGCTGCCGTGGTGTAACCTGCTGTGCTGGGAGCTGCAGGGAAGGCATGGGCGAGGCAGCCCACCCTGGCTTGCAGCCCACCCTGGCTTGCAGCCACCAGGAGGGAGAATAAGCTGGTTCCTGCCTGAGGCTGGCCAGTCCCAGGCCGGCATAATCAGACAGTCTCAAAAAACCCCCAGCCCCATCGTGAAGATCAGAGACCCTGAGGGGCTGAGTCCTGAATTAACGAGTGGATTCTCTGGGCATGTGTATCTCTGAGTGGGGCCACGTGCTTGCGCTGTTCTGAGAAACCGAATCACCTTGTGCGTGAGTTATCAGGCCTTTCCCGAAAGAGTTCCAGAGGGTGGGGAAAGCGAGGGCTGCGAGCAGAGCAGCTGGGTGCCGGGAGCAACTGGAGGGAGGCGATGGGCACTTCTGCCCACAGCTGGGTCTGTGGTACTGGGGCCATTCTGAACCTGGGGTGGAGGTTTCCCTGCTGATGTGGGGCTGGAGGGCCTGCTCTTTCCTGTGACTTTCCATGTTTAGGGTCCTGCCCCCAGCCCTGCAGGGTCTTCTCAGCCCTGGCATCCCAGGAGAAGAAAGAAAAATAGTCCTGCATCCATCCTGATGAGGGCAATGACCCATCTTACTTGGGTGGCTGACTGACAGAGGACTTTCAACACACTCTGTCATTTGTTCCGGGCCAGGTCCAAGAACAGCTGCACCACAGTATAGCTGAGTAACTGTGGGGAAGTTGCCACCTCTCTGAGCCTCAGTTTCCCCACCTGTAAAATAGGTAGAGCACGAGGCTGCAAAGAGACCTATGCTAATGATTAAAACTGCTTTGTAAACTGTAAAGTGCTGTTCCCATGGTAGTTGTGATTATATTTTAGACAGGACGTGGTCAGAGCAGTAGCCACATGTGTTTGGTTTCCTGCTATGTTTCTAAGATCCCACAGAGTACATAACACAGAAGACACATGAGAAGGAGTTTTATAATGCTTGCTGATTGACTAACGGCATGCCCTTCACTTAACAGAAGAGGAGAGTGACTCATGGGGGGCCAAGACCAGAATCGATCACCCTGATGCTCAGGTCCAGAGCACCACAGGTAGAAGGTAGGGAGAGAGAGAGAGAAAAGGAGGGAAGAAGAAGGAGAGAGGGTG